GATTGTTGAAGACTCTCTCTAGAAGTCACCCAAACGCTGAGGTAGGGTAGCACATTTCAAACCATGTAGGATTTCAGCTTCAATGGTAGCATTCGTTTACAGATGGCTCCCAAGGTATGGGTAGTGTTCTACGTTCTGCAAAGAATGGTCATTTATAGTTATATTTGCGGCTTGTGGATAAGTACCCGGTGCGGGTTGGTGCAGAATCTACGTGTTGTTAAAGTTGACCTCTAGGCCGATTCTCCTGTATGCCTGGATGAGTGCATTGATAATTGCCTGGAGATCTTCTTCTGTATTGGCCATCACGACGTTATCATCCGCTAGTACAATTATCGATGTCCTCGATACTTTCGTCTTGTTTGTAATCTGTTTGGGTTGAATAAGCCGCCATCAAGTCTATACAGAATTTCCACTCCTGACGGCAGGTAACACTCGACAAGGTGAAGTATGGATCTTATAAATAAAGTAAATAAAGTGGGTGCAATAACACAGCCCTGTTTGATGCCTGTAGTTATTTGAAAAGACTCTGCTTGTGGATCGTTGCTCAGGACATTTGCATTCACATGCAGCAGGCGGAGTATCTAGATGTATATTTGCGGACACCCAACCTTCGCCAATATCCTCCAAAGAGCTTCTCTGTTGACCGAATCAAATGCTTCCACTAAATCTATGACGCCCATGCATAGAGGCCGATTTTGTTCTCTGGATTTGTCTTGCACTGACAATAATGTCAACTGTAGGTACCTAGGTTGGGTCTAAAGAACTCAGAGAGAAGAACCCTAAAGTTTAAAGCCACGCTATGTCTCTGGGAGGTTCTCTGCGGCAATTGGGATTAGACGATGTGATAATATTCTGGCAAGTATCTTTCCCGCAACATAAAGTAAAGATATTCCTCTGTAGTTTCCACATTAAACATTTTCTCTATGGAGGCATCTCTTAGTTCGGCAAGTCTGGTCTGGTCTCAGTTATCCATATTTCACTTATTAGGATGTGGGTTTGGGCACTTTGTGTGGGGCATCCTTGCTTAAAGGATTAAGCAGAAATGTCATTAGTACCAGTTGACATAATGTTCTTTAGAACTAGAGACAAAAAATTGTAGTTATTTAATGTACCAAATTATCACATTATGTCCAAATTCTGTCGGTCAAACTTCAACAATGGGGGTACAACTATTCTGGTGAGCACGGAATTATTGTCAAACTCAGATTTTTCGAACTGCTAAAATAATTCAACTGCCTAATCTCTGAAAAAACTTTCGAGTTTTCAGTGCCTTTTTCTCGCTCTCTCAATACATACATCTCATGCTCATACGGTTCCCCAAACACTAGCATTGCATGTTTTATCAGGGCACTTTAACATAGATTATCTGAAACCTGAGGAGCATTCAACCATCCTCTTAATTAGTCTGCTTGAAAGTTTCAATCTTCATATGCACATAAAAAATCCAACAAGATCAACTAATTCTACCTCTACCATCATTGATTACCTATGCTCAAATTTTAACTCTGACCTTGAGTGCGATGTGGTAGATGCCACCAAGCTGTAATAGCTCCCCCCCGAACTCCCTTCGAAGTTAAAGCCATGTAATAACTCCAGGAAACAAGGTAAGATATTTAGCAAAAGAAACTTTCTAAAACTTAAAAGTAGCTGCAATAATACTGGCAACGCGTACTTTTAAAATGCGACCCACTAGAAGAGTTCCACCTTCTTCTGAGCAATATCATTAATATTACTATTCCTTCAAGACCACTTCATAAAAAATTTAACCAAAAATACTGGATGACACACGGTCTAAAAACATCTGCAGCCAATCTTTGTTCTCTACATATATCAACGAGACACTTTCATCACAATCCATTTATAACTGCCTACTACCTAAGATTTCGTCAAATTTATAAAAAACTCATTAAAACAGCTAAATATCTCTTCCACTCAGGTCGACTTAATCATGCCACCAACAAATCTAAGGAAATATGGAATGCTGTAAAAGAAATAACTGGCAAAAATATCTCAAAAACAACTGAAATTGATATAGAACCGGAAGAACTTAACAACTATTATTGTTCGGTTGCCAGCAATCTCACCAGAACCATAAATTCTGATACTGATCCTATGATTTACCAGGAAGCTTACGGCTACACGACTCCTTTGAGTTCATACCTACAGATACACAATAAATGAGGACAGTTCTTAAAACGATCAAAAATCAAACTGCTGCTAGCTCAGACGGCATACCAACAAAAATACCTACTTCGAGAACTACCTGACCAAGCCTTTTGTGTTACCACAAGCGATAAATAAATCATTTTCTGATGGCTCCTTTCCCACCAGTCTCAAGGAAGCCCTAATCGTTCCAATCCACAAAAGTGGTGACACGAAAAATACATCTAACTACCGCCCTATCTCACTACTATCTACAATCTCTAAAGTAGTAGAAAAATTACTTAAAAAGCAAATGTTGAGTTTTCTAACGTTGCATAATGTTTTCAATTCCACCTAGTTAGGATTTCTCCCAAAAAAAGGCACGCATGATGCAATTTTCCATGTGATCGAAACACTTTTTAGAAACTACGACAACAGATATGCCACTGCCGGAGTGTTCTGTGACTTTTCAACGGCTTTTGACTGCGTGAGTCACAGAACACTACTGCGGAAGCTAGAAGCTTATGGTTTTCGAGGCATAATGGTTTCGATCGTACCTTTATCATCACATCCCTGTCTCCGCGGATGGAATGGACCGATCATATCTCTTCTATATATCAATGATCGCCTGTTCATCAATATGTCTGGAGATTTGCAGCGTTCGCGGATGATGCGACTGCGCTATGGCACAACTGCGACCCTAACAAGCTGATCAGAATAATATCCCACGATCTAAATAGTATCAATATGTGGTGCGATGCAATAAATGGACTACTTTTGAACTTCAACAAAATCCAAATCCATTTTGATGTAACATCGAACGCATTGTATGTGACGAATTTTTTATTGAAAGCTCGAAAAATACAAAGTTTCTTGGACTGAACTTGGATGTTGATCTTTAATTCCAATCACATATAATAGCTCTCAACTAACAAAAAACTATCTTCAGGCTGCTACTGCATACGATCAGTTTTATCTACCTTGGGGTCCACCATAGCAAAATTAGTACCTATAAGTATTTTGCTGTGATACAATCGCACCTAACTTATGGGCTGCCATTTTGGGGATGTTGCAGCCAGTATCTTTTCGAGTCGGTGTTTAAACTACAAAAACGGACAATCCGATTTATTGCTCGCGTTTCACCGCGGGAACACTGTAAGCCACTTTTTGTTAAGTATGAAATCCTTACTCTTCCATGTCTTTTTATTCTCGAGTCAGTCAGTCTCATTCATAAGAATATCTCTTGTTTTCCTTCATGCCAAACTACCAATCTGACGAGGCAAAGTCATCATCTACCACTTCCTATTCAACATTCCTATCTTGAACAGAACTTTATGATTTACAATAGCGTGAAGCTTTATAATCACCTTCCAGCAATTTTAAAAGATACCTATATTAGATATCACTTTATTTCGAGAAGAGTTAAAAATCATCCTACTTATCCAAGCTTTCTACATGGTTTATGAATTTCTGGACTTGGTATTTTTAACGTAATAAATTTAACCAGCTTTTGCAGCCTAGAATTATCGTGGGCATGACACTTTGAATTGGCTCTTGTGTTGTTTTTTCTCAGAGCCCTATTGTACTGTATATTCAAATTTTGTCTTATTTCTTATTGTTTCTGTCAATTTTTAACCCCCTATAGTTATCTAGTTCATTAATTGTTTTAAGCATTTTTAGGCTTTTGATACTTGTTGTTAATTCAATCCTTATAACAAATTTTAATGCAGAATTATTGATTTAAACACTTTACAACAGTTTGTTTATTCTTGTATTGTTTCTTCGTGTTGTTATTTCATGACTTATCATTTCGTTTATGTTTTTTTTTTATTATGGTTTATTTCTAACTGTTGAAAACTAAAAATATGTGTATTTACTGTGACAAGCATTATAGTTAGGTGTTTTAGATTTAAGGCTTAGCTTTCTCCATAAGGATTAATTACTGTATCTTTTGACAATAAAGCTTGTTTAATACTTGGAGGGTAGGTACCTACAGTCTGAGCAAGCATATCAACTTGTCTCACGTGCTCATGAACTGAGACGCAGGGCTTTTCAGTCATGCTCAAAAAGGCACTTTGTGTGTAGCCTCATTCAGAGGTCTTCTTTAAAACCTGTTCGTACCGACTTGGAGTCTTGCAGCGGAACGTAGTGGACTGTATATAAAGACAACCCTGATAATAAATCAACTGTATATTTAGCTTTTACAACTGCTGACTACTGGGGGCTAATAATTTATCCGTATACTAGAAATCTTTCACAAAGACGGCGTCTCAAAATTGCAGTTTATGTAGGGATTATGGGCGAGACTCCTGGCTTGGTCGCGCACCATTTTGTCAATGCCCCCAGGTGGTGGAGACCACTGATTTTACCCGCACTTTCCTAAGTTTCAAATGATATTGAATATTTATTCGAATTGAATTTTATGCTTAACATCCTGTCTGGACGTGTCCGTCTGAAGTACAAAAATCAAAGATGTCTGGAAAATCTTCGGCAAGAAATTGTTAAAATTATGGAAAGAGTTCAATCATCGAACTCTTCCAAAGACATTCATGTGAAATTTTCTAGATTCTAGATCAATGAAAAAAGGTGCTGCAGCTACTTAGTTTGTAGGCGTTGCGAAGCCATGTTCAAAATTGTTGATAGCAAACTTTTGGCCTTAACTAAATGCATGACATAGGGATGTATTTATTTATATTTTCATACAAAGTGATTTTTGAATTCAAACTCCCTAATTATATGTTCCTCATAAATGTAACATTAGTCATCAGGCGTCCGGTTGTTGGGTTGATTCATCAAAAGGTGCTGAAGTCTGGATTATTGGGTTTTTTAGGTGGAAGAAAATATTTTGCACAAACAAATTATGTAGATAGATATTTATTTTGAAACAATATGCAACATTTACAAAAACTCAAGTATTAAGTTAGATATCAATAACAGAATAAGGCTAGAAAGCTACAGATAAGTAAAACCTTAAATTTTAAAGTAATGGTTACGCTATTGACAACAGAATTTCGAAAGTTAAATTTTTGAAATATTACATACACATTAACACCAAAAAAAATAAAATATTTTACTAAATTTAGAAAGTAGATTGATTACTTTTGATTATACCAGTTAATTAATTCAATTTCATTTATCACCATTTAAAATTGGCATTTTGGAAAATGTGACCTAATTTCAATATTTGGAAGAATTCCAAATATTTTTGGTGATATCCCGGAAAAAAAAACCAAAATTTTGCAATTTGCGTATTTATCATTTCAGGGATGTTACTGTTTACCCTCTACAAGAGGCTCTCAAATTTGAAATACAAAGCGGTAGGTATCCAATAAGTTCAAGTCCGAACTCCCAAAACCTGCTTCCATAAAATGCATAACAAAAAAAAAAATCCTAAGTAGGTAGGTACCTACTTACATAGGCATCGCATCGTCTCAGATATCCCAAATGAGAATAGTAGTCATAAGTGATTATCATTTTTCTATTGACTAGATATAAGTGATAGCAAAGTATTAAAGGTGTTTTTTTTCGGATAAAATAAAAATGGAAGAGTAGCCGCTTATTGCTTGGACCTATTTTTTATTACATAGGTACTTCAAGATTCTATATTTTTTGTATATGAAAGGGGATTAACTAGATTGGAAGGCTATTTGCAATGTATAGTAAGTAGGTACTTTAAATCAATAACTTCCATTGCTGATTGCTATTTTGATAGTGGAGGTAAGTATATTCCTTTTTTTTTATAAAGATGAAAATAATAAGTTAGGTAATTGTTTAAATTCCTATACCAGTGTAGATTGTTGTGCGATACTGTTAATATAATATCTTTCCTCCAACTATAGCTGAGTTCGGAAAATAGCTCCAAGACCATAAAGAGGATAATTTTGACAGTTGTGCTGTGTTTAACATATTATTAAATGAATTTAAAATCTTGTGTAAAAAAAAAATCTGTCGCATCTGCGATGTCATTTCCGAACTCACCATGAGATAGTTTTGTTTAAATCTATTACTAATCGTTATTATAAATAAATATATAAATGAAAAAAATCAATAGAGCATGCTATACATGTTAAAAACAATTCCATAGATTCAATTATTTTACTTTGCAACATCCATTATTCATGTAAGAACTTATACCTACATACGAGAATAAGAATAATCTATCAAATTGATTTACTTAACTTATTGCTAATTGTACGGTAACATAAATTAAACTTGAATTTGGTATATTGCATAAAATATAAACTTAACAACAATAATGAAAATGATAATTAAAAACATTTTATTAAGTTAATTATATCTACTAAATATAGGTCAATATTATTTCAGGCATTCAGCAAATAACTAACCCAAAATTTTCCTAGAGTGCAACACCAAGATAGAGCCAAAGTAAACAAAACCAGCTGCGCCTGGAACGATTTTTTTCTTTCATCAATGCTGTTAAATTGGAGTCGAAAAAACGAAATTCGCATATTACAACGTCTGCAGATCATAATTCGATTATAACTCAAAGTTCATGAGATTTTTGTTTAGCCTAGCTCATTCAGTGTATCTTGGGTTTGAAAAATGACAACAGAGAATATTTGGGAATATTTTTAGGATCTTTTCCCGGGTTACCAACACTTAACCCATTAAACTTGACGTTGTAACATTTGATACATTGATGATGCAAATGTACGAAATGAATTTATCATGAAATGTCAAATTTTTGTCATCAGGCCGCTGCGCTGTGCTTCTTGCATTCAACCTAATATCTTTGTCGCGCCTGTAAATAAAACAAACTATATCTAAGTATATTAAATTTAAAACAAAACATTTAACACACTATGCACTATAAATACGATGTACGTATTTTTCTTAAGCCTTAAAGCATAAGAACGAGTAAATAAATAAATAATAAATAGGTTTATTATTGTTGTAGCTTGCTGCGGCCTAATTCACCAAAATCCAGATGATTTTCCGCCGGGGGGATTTCTTACTCGAATACAAGACTTTCTGTCCGTATCTAGATCTTCTGTAATTAAAAAACACATTTTAGTAGATATATAAAAAATAAATTTAAGATGTGCCCTAAAACCATCTCCCAGAGGTAACAAAGGACTAATCTTATGGAAAATGGCTTTCGGTGAAATTGTCTGAAATATGGATATGTTGTTCTCCTGGACATTATAAACAAAAAAATCCAACGAGCCATTTTCGAGTTATGGTAAGTTAAAACATATCAAATGCAAGCGCACTTCAAATTTTTCCCACTTTATAAAAATGTTGATATGACATTTACGGCCTTAAGGCTTCGATGCATTATCGGTTAAGTCGCGTATCCAAGTCGCGCTACCAATACTCAACTTAGTCGCATTCTTAGTTTTTATACTAGGAATATAACTATAAAAAAAAGGAACTATAAAGGAATAATAAACATTTTAACCATATCTATTGTCAGATCAGCAGGAAATAGGCTCATGTCTGGTTAATCCTCCAATTTTTGATTAACCAGTCTGTCAACTGTCACAATATCAATAGGTATATATCCCGAATTAAGAATACGTTTAATATCTAGAATTTTCAAAATCAAATGAAAATGGGGCCTCCCAGTCGCGCATTTTTGTATCGTTTAAATTGCCCTCCCTAGCTACGTTGGCTAGTTGGGAAGAGAATACATATTAGGGAAAATATGATACTGAGTATTCTTCTTAAGCAGCGCTGCTTCTAAACACCTCAGGTGCCCTCTGTAGGTTGTCCAGGTTTAGCATCCCTAGAAAAGTGTTGGTATAACGATAGCATTGTAGACCGCGAGCTTAGTGTGGTCGCTTTTGTCGTGGCCATCAAACACTCTTTTCAAGGGACGTCCAAAAGCTGCGCTGGTGCACTTTAGTCGGTGTTGAATTTCCGCGTCGATATTTGCTTTGTGGAAAGATGACTACCGACATATGGAAAGTATTCTATATTTTTTAGAGGTGCTCCATTGATAATAATTACAGCTGAATCTGGTGCATTCGTATTTAGAGAAGGCTGGAATGAATTTTTGTCTTTTCTGTGTTTCGTACGCTCGCTGAAATAATCTTATGATCAGGTCCTTCAAGGTATTTGCCATGACACCATTGTCATCAGTATATGTTACTCACAAAGAGTTGTTAGGTATGGATACCTTGTCCTTGGCTTGAAATCTGCTTAGATTGAATAGCTTTCCATCAGTTCTATAGGCGATTTGAACGCCCAACGGCAGGTTTTCTTCTATCGGATTGAGTACAGCTTCTACAAATATAGAGAATAGCTGCTCGCAATGGCAATGACACATTTTTGTTTGATTCCGGTTGTGATTTGAAAATTTCTCCGGGTCAGTTGTTAGCATAGATTTATCATCCTACTATTAGTTCTCAGAGTTCTTCTGGTCCAGACTTGCTGGTACAATAATACCCTAAAATTGGCTCATTACGAAAGCGAGAACATACGCGAATTCTCAAAAACCCAGTTTCATTTACTCAATTGTCTTGCTCAGAAGAGTTCTGTACGTCATGGTGCATAATGGCGTCTTGTACGGAGCAAGAGATACTTGGTAAATACCAACAGTTAAGTAAGTCTCGCAGATCGTTTAGAGTTAAGCTTCCTTCTTATGCGTCCATCATCCGACGATACGATGATACGAACTTATTTCTATTGGTTGAATTTACGGTTGCCTATTGGTTAGGAAATGTATGATTATTTATTAGGTCTGTTTCTGCAGAAATCACAAACCAGTCAGAGCGAATTTCATTGGTTAAAAATAGTCAGAAACAGTCAGAAAACTAGTTCCAACCAATAAAATTCACTCTGACTAGTTTGTGATTTCTGCAGAAACAGACCTATTATTTTTCTCATTCACATGCATCCGTCATCCGATGATACGAATCGTTTCTGATTGGTCATAATCATCAATTGAAAATTAATAAAAAGTGAAAATAACATGCTGCAAAATGTCTTTTTTTGGTGAATAGATACGCCACAAACAAGACAAATAGCCAAACACAACAAATAAAACAAATTAAACTGAAAAAGTATGGTTAGAATTATATGTCAAAGTTGTCAAATCGTACGATATCGTACAAAAAGTTAAAATTATTTTAACTTTATCCGATGACGGATGAAATGTTATCAGAGCGCTGTATCATCGGATACGGACGCATGAGAAGCCAGCTTTAGGCGAGGAAAATTAGGTAAGTGGTCCGGATTTAACTGAACCCATCTACCGTGTCTGGCTCTTAGACTTTCTGCTTCTACTCTCTACTAATATTCTCGCATAATATCTATTTAGAATAGCTGCAGCATTTCTGTAGTGTAGAGTAAAGATCGCCGAGATAAACGAGATGTGTCATTAAGATAGTATAAGTCATTCATTAAAAACTTGAGAGTTGATTTGAAATGTCCATTTCGTGCTTCAACTGTATCCACCTGGTTTTTGCTACTAAACGTCATTCTTTTGCTTCATCGGTAGTATCTTAGTTCAAATTATCCCCGATTTAGAGGTATTAGCATTTTGTAGACAAATGCCTACACCTTGAAGCAGTGGACCAGCCTCTCGATATCCTCAGTCTTCTATGAAAATGTCGCTCTCTTGCATCCACTGCCTCATACCATCTACGTTCCTTCCAAATTCGCGTTCTAACATTGCTACATCATTGTATATGAAGTATATAGGTATACATATACCCATTGGGAGCTACAATCGGCCTTATGTCTGCAATAAGATAGCGTAGAGCGCGGAAATTATTGCTTTTATTTATGTACGAATGCGTGCCGTCAGTAGGTCTGTTCTCACAAGAGTCTCTGACAGTTTGCCATCACCTGTCAGAAAGCATCGCCCTTATATGTTTTCAATGCCGTCAGTGGCGCACCCAAGGGGGGGGTTAAAACCCCCTCCTGAAATTTAGCACTGTTACAAAGAATTTTCCGATAAAAATATTTTTTTTGCGATTTTGGTTATAAGGTTGGTAGGTACCTACAAACTTTCCATTTTACATTTTAAAAAAATATCCTATTTACGTTACGCGAAATTACGGAAAAAAGAACATGGAAATCTGGCAACCTGGCCCCTGCACCGTACATCGCATTGGCATGTAATATTGACAGTTGAGTTGTACAGGGCGCTACTGTACTTGGAGCTCTTCAAATTTTGGCGCGTTAATAATCCAGTGTAATTTAAACATCAAAAGTTTAGTTTGACGTGTGGTTTTAAGACAAGCTGACGCTGACACTTTTAAACATATTTTCTAAGGGCCACTGAACGTTTTAGAAGACATTTTAACTTACTGTCCATTGTTAGTATTTAGTCATCTTTCCTTCTACTCAGTTAAACGGTTTAAAAATATTCACATTTACCGACAAAATTGAAAGCACTCCAAGTTCAGTCGCGCCCTCTACAAAATTTTGGGAAACTTACTGGATATTTGCTGTCATTTGCGGTCATGTAAAGGTGCATTTCCACCAAGCGCGCAAAACGATTGCAAATTTGCGAATGATCAGCAATGTTTGTGAACATTATTTGATTGGTAGAGACGGAATTTAGAATGTTTGCAACCATGTGGGAAACTCTCTTTCTTTTAAATACACATGATTATGAAAACAGTGGCGGTGACAAAAGCTTTTTTTCGCGCAGCTATTTTGCTGCAAGAGTTCGTTTCAATTGTTTTTTGATGGAAATCACTCACGAAAAGTTATTTTCCGAAGGCTTAAAATAAACGTTTTTGGGCGTGGCACCCGAAAAAAATTCTTCTTATGGCGGCCAGCCTACGGCAGCGCCTGCCTGCGATGAGCCTTGATCATTATGAAACCCCCCCCCCCAAATAAAAAACCTGGGAGCGCCACTGAATGCCGTCGTTCCAAGATAAATCGGTAACTTATCTGGGCGATTATTTCTGACAGTTTGCAATCTGTTCGTGAATGTCAATTCTACATTTTTATAAAGTGACAAAAAATTGAAGTGTGTGCATCTGATATGTTTTAAACTTAACATAACTCGAAAATGGCTAGTTGGATTTTTTTGTGCCAATGATAATTTTTGTTTAGAAGGTCCAGGAGCACAACATATCCGAATTTCGGACAATTTCATCGAAAGCCATTTTGCATAAGATTAGTGCGGGATCCTTTTTCCCCAATTTAAATCCCTATGACCTGAACCATCCTTTCTAGGATGGTGGTTTTCAGAACCTAGCCTTGAACCTAAACTTGAAAATAGTGTTTCAATTCGTGGACTCGTTTTTTTTTTACATATAATTCGTGCCTGTCAAAAATTCAGAGCAGATCAACGGAAAAGATGACAAAAACGAACAGATGTCGTTAAAAGTCAGTATTTCGACAGTGTTTCTATTACCATAGTGGCGACAATTACCGTCTCATTTTTGATTGGTTTTTTAAAGTCCTATATATTCATATGGAAAACGCCGCCATTTTGGGGCTTACCTCTTCCTATTTTTAAATATGAATATAGGTATAGGATTTAAATGGAGATCCATCATAAGAAATTGAAAACAACGTATTTGATCTACCTGATAATAGTCATCAAATACATTGTTTTCAATTTCTCATGATAGATGTCCATTCGAATCCTATATATTCATATTTGAAATTAGCAAGAGGAAAGCCCCAAAATGGCGGCGGGACCTCTATTGTCGCCACTGTATGTAAAGGTTTATTTAGTAACTTTAGTCGCACTCATCTAGTTTTCTAGTTAGCGTGCCAAAATTGCTCGGAAGAGAAAACTATGACGAGTGGGCTTTCGCCATCGAAAATGCGTTTTTGTTGAACGGTTTGTCGGCGTTCCTCGAAGGGACAGAAACGGACGAAGATAAACTAAGTAAAGCAAAAGCAAAATTAGTGCTATCAATTGACCCTTCACTTTACATGCATATTCATGATGCAAAATCTGCTTTGGATTTGTGGAACATATAACACATTGAAAAATCTATTTGCAGAAAAAGGCTTTGCTCGAAAAATTGGACATCTTCGCACATTGATTTCGCTGATGCTTGAAAACTGTGAGTC